GGAAGCATCTCAGCGCTGACGTGGGCCTCCATGTGACTCCTCCAGCTCCAGGGCTCTAGCGTAGCTCCATGTGTCCTGTCAATAGGAATGTCTCACAGGGAGTGAGTGTGTCCCGCCTCCAGCGAGCTATTTATCTCCTTCAAGCCTCCAAATGAACTCATCAAGCTGCAATCTGATTGACAGGCTAAACCCCACCCCTTCGCTCTTAATAGTCTCAGATTGACAACAGATTATGTAACTACCACAATGCACCCCATAGTTCTAATAGCTCATTACTGGTTTGATTTCCCTTTGGGGGATAAAGAGCCCCGGTGGTGTGGTGGGTTAGGAGGTGGGCTGCTATTCCCAAGGTCAGCAGTTCAAAACCACCTTGGTAGAGAGACGAGGCTTTCTGCCCCCAACAAGATTCACAGCCTCAGAAACCCACAAGGGCAGTTCTGCTCTGCCCTATGGGGTCAGTAAGAGTCACAATCGACTGGGTGGCAGAGGGTTTTGAGTGAGTTTTTGGTGGACAAGTGAAGAGGAAGTTATTTGCCTCAAGGACACAGAAAATGGAGGGGAGAGGGGTTGATTCCAGAAACGTCTTACAGCTCTGTTATGCGTGTAAGTCTCTGATAGATAAGGGAGGTCAGAGAAAGGCCAGAGAGGTGAGGTTCCCTGTGGATGAGGGTAGAGGGGAATGAGCATTTCCTGGGGAAAAAAGCAAGTGAAGGCTTAGATCAGCATTGCATGACAGGAATCCAAGAAATGGGAATTGGGCAGCTGGGGGTGGGGGGAGAGGAGATTGGCTGTAGCCTTGGATCCAGGCTGGAGATTCTGAGAACCCTTTGTGGCTCTCTCCTTTCTTAGTCCCTACAGCTGCAGTGTATGTATGGGGGGAGGGGAGCTGTCCCCCCAACTGATTCCTCCCACCCTCTTCTTGCATTGTAGTGTTTCACCTGTCTCGGAGGGTGACCTCTCTGGTCCCTGAGAGCTGCCTGCTGATCTTGCTGGGCCTGGTGCTCGGGGGCATCGTGCTGGCTGTGGCCAAAAAAGCCGAGTACCAGCTGGAGCCAGGCACCTTCTTCCTGTTCCTGCTTCCGCCTATTGTGTTAGACTCTGGCTATTTCATGCCCAGCCGGCTGTTCTTCGACAACTTGGGTGCCATCCTCACCTATGCCGTGGTGGGCACCCTCTGGAATGCCTTCACCACTGGAGCCGCCCTCTGGGGCCTGCAGCAGGCTGGCCTTGTGGGTGAGTGACCCTGAGACACCCCCACCCCGTTGCCCTCTTCTCCAGCTCTGGAGGCGCTGTGTGGGTGACATTCACGCTCTGGGATCCCGCCGTAGGTCTCTTGCACCTGGAGTGCCAGGAGCTACCCCAGATGGGCCAACAACTCACTTAGGCTTCTGCCAGTCACGTCTGGGCTTCGTAGGACAACAGCCGAGCAGGCCTACTTTCCCGCTGTGCGTGGGCTGGGGAGTCGGCAACACCACTCTGCTAACTCCTGCTCGTTGCCGCCACACTGCCACCTGCCAGCCTGGCGCCTCGAGGCCCAGCTCACCACTCCTGCCGGCCTCCCAATCCCGGCTCTGCCCAGGCCATGCCAGGCTGGTTTTCGGCTTTTATTATGATTTCTAATAAATGGAGGTTACCTAGCCACAGATTTTAAGGCTCCACACTGGTAAGGCATTGCTTCTTACCATGTTGACCCTCCATAGCCAGCCTGAGGGGGTAGAATGTGTCCCACTGGATGGCCTGGCCCCTGACATCACTCATCATTCATCACATCCGGGGCCAGCTGGAGGGGGCTGTTTTCCGGAGGCTCCTGTGTGCAGGCTCCCTGCCCAGAGAGATTCACCCCCGAATGCAATTCAGCCATTTACTTAGTCCAGGGTCTGTGCTGCCCATGTGGGGTGGCCAATCTCACATCCCCAGTGAGTCAGTGAAGTCTTATGAGCAAGAAGGTAAGGAAAGCATCAGACCATGATAGTAATAGTAACCACCATAGGTACTATCTACTGGGAGCCCCGGTGGTGCCGTTGAGTAAGCATTAGGCTGCTTCCCTCAAGGTCAGCAGTTCAAACCTACTAGCTACCTAATAGGAGATAGTGGAGGCTATCTGCTCCTATAAAGATTCTCAGCCTCCTACAGATTCACAGTGAGTCCAAATAGATTTGGTGGCAGTGGGTTAGGGTTTATTTTCTCTTGGACGCTGTTATTACTCCCAATCTACAGGTGAGACAGCCCTTGTAGACTGATCTGAAGGAGCCCAGGCAGCATAGTGGTTATGTATTGGGCTGCTAACTGCAAGGTTGACAGTTTGAAACCACCAGCCGCTCCATAGGAGAAAGATGAAGTTTTCTACTCCTATAGAGCGTTACAGTCTCGGAGAAGCCACGGGGTGGTTCCACCCGTCTCATGGGACTCGATAGCAGTGTGCGTGGTCTTGAGAGACTGATCTGATCCTCCCAGCCCACCCCTCCCTCGAATCCTTTAGGCTGAGAATCACGGGTGTAGGAGAGAGCCCGGCCTTTGTTCTTCCCCCCAGTTCATATCCAGCATCTGTTTCTGTGGCTGCAGTGTTGATGGTGCTTTTAGCTTCTCAGGACACACAGAGTGACTCTCGTCGTCCTGGGCTGCTGGCTGCCAGCAGTCTTGTGAGGAAAGCTTTGGCACACAGAGGCCGTGGGACCCAGCCAACATCCAGGCCTTTGGTGTCTGTCTGCAGGTCTCCTGACCCGACAGCCACTTCCTCTCTGGGCTTCCTGTTTCCACAGGCGGATGGAGGTGGTAGGTGACTGGGTGGCCCTGACCCGTTACTGGCCCGCCCCATCTCTCCCTGCCCAGCTCCCAGGGTGCAGGCTGGCTTCCTGGACTTCCTGCTGTTTGGGAGCCTCATTTCGGCGGTGGACCCCGTGGCTGTGCTGGCTGTCTTTGAGGAGGTGCATGTCAATGAGACCCTGTTTATCATCGTCTTTGGCGAGTCCCTGCTCAATGACGCGGTCACTGTGGTGAGTCGGGCACACACCCCTGACCTCACATTGCCACGCTTGTTTCTGTCCCCGGCCCTCTCTCAGCAGTCCCCTTGCGGCCGCCCCAACTCCAGCTCCTCTTCCCCCTCCTCTAGGTCCTGTACAAAGTCTGCAGCTCCTTTGTGGAGATGGGCTCTGCCAATGTGCAGGCCACTGACTACCTGAAGGGCATCGGTCAGTATCTCCTCCCTCACGGTGGGCAACTGCCTCCCCTGGGTTGCCAAGCAACCCCCACCCCCGAATTGGCTCGGGGGTCTGCCTCACTCTCTTCCCTCATCTATGGAGATTGGGGTCCAAAGAACCAGAGAGGGGCGGAGCTCTCCCTGACCCCTGGGTCTGCGGCGCGCAGCATCCTCCATAGCCCTCCACAGCAGTCTTGTCAGCTCAGGTGGGGTCCGGGCCAGGGGTCATGCTGACACCCCACTCCTCCCCCAGCTTCCCTGTTTGTGGTCAGCCTGGGCGGGGCAGCTGTGGGCTTCGTCTTTGCCTTCCTCTTGGCCCTGACTACGCGCTTCACCAAGCGGGTCCGCATCATCGAGCCGCTGCTGGTCTTCCTCCTTGCCTACGCCGCCTATCTTACTGCCGAAATGGCCTCGCTCTCCGCCATCCTTGCGTGAGTCCTGGGGGCCCTGGGGGCAGGCCGCTGAGAAGGGGTACCCCTTGCAGATCCCCGAGGTGGACATTCGTTTCCCTGCACCCTCTGGCAGCAGGAGCCTCAGACAGCCCTGAAGAGGCAGGGAGCCCTGGAGCACAGGCCTGGGTCTGCCTGGGGCTCCCCAGACACCCAGTCTTCCTCTGTGGGAGTGCTGACTGAGGCGTGGGCTGAGCTGAAAGTGAAATCCAAGGTCTGAGGTCTCTGGCTCTGGGGCCCACAGCTCGCCCAAAGAGGAGCCACCAGGAGGCACCCGGACTGCTGTGTGTCCTTGGGATAGCCCCGCACCTCTCTGGGCTTTACCTCGAAGAGTCTGGCATCCGCTGAGGGGTGACCCACTGCCTGCAGCGCTCTGAGCCCTAGGGGCCTGGCTCTTCCACCCTTCCCACGGGCCCTTTATCCAACGGCCCTCCCAGGGTGACCACGTGTGGCCTGGGCTGTAAGAAATACGTGGAGGCCAACATCTCCCGGAAGTCGCGCACGGCGGTCAAGTACACCATGAAGACGCTGGCCAGCTGCGCCGAGACCATTATCTTCATGCTGCTGGGCATCTCGGCCGTGGACTCTTCGAAGTGGGCCTGGGACTCAGGGCTGGTGCTGGGCACCCTCGTGTTCATCCTCTTCTTCCGAGCCCTCGGTATGGTCAGGCCCCCACCCACTGCCCGGCCGCCCTGTCCTGCTTCACGCCATGGCCTCAGCTCGGCCTCCTCAGAGTCCCCGCCCCCAGCCCACTCCCGAGTCTCCCCTACTGCTTCTTCCCTCTCCCAGCCCCTTTGAGACCTTAGCCAGGGTCCTCAGCGCCCTCTGCTGCCAACACCCTGCTCCCACTGGCCTCTCTCCTGCTGTAGGCGTAGTCCTGCAGACGTGGGTGCTGAACCAGATGCGGCTGGTCCCTCTGGACAAGATTGACCAGGTGGTGATGTCCTATGGGGGCCTGCGGGGGGCTGTGGCCTTTGCTCTCGTCATCCTACTGGACAGGACCAAGGTTCCTGCGAAGGACTACTTTGTGGCCACCACTATAGTGGTGGTCTTCTTCACGGTCATCGTGCAGGTGGGAGTACCCATGAGACTGTGCGGGGAGAGGGTCTGGCAGACTCCGGGGGGTAGTCTTGGAGCCTCTGGGGCTGGGGCTTCTCCCCACACTGGGAGAGGCAGGGGTCTGCCTTCCCTGAGCTGGAGTGCAGCAGGGTGGGGGCACAGGAGCCAAGGTTCCCGCTGGGGAGTGAAAGGCCGCAGCAAGCAGACAGGGAAGGGACGCAGCGGTTGCCTGTCCACAGGGCCTGACCATCAAGCCGCTGGTCAAGTGGTTAAAGGTGAAGAGGAGTGAGCACCACAAGCCCACCCTGAACCAGGAGCTGCACGAGCACGTGGGTCCCAGAGCTCGGCCGTCTACCGTCCCACCCTCCTGCCTTCTCTCATGGGCCCAAGCCTGAGCCAGTCCCCTACCCACCCCCCTTCTAGACATTCGACCACATCCTGGCCGCAGTGGAGGACGTTGTGGGCCACCATGGCTATCACTACTGGAGGGACAGGTGAGGGCACCGGCCTGGGCACCTACAGCAACAGCAGCCCCTGGGCAGGGCAGCAGGGGTCATGGGCTGAGTTTCTGAGAAGGCCCCAGCCTGGCTTAAGTGGGGTGATCCTTCCAGAAGGCCTCCAGAGGCACCTTCCTAGTGCTCTCAGGAGAAGGCTCCCCGGCTCCCAGCAGCACGGTGCTTTGCCTCTTCATCATTACAGGGGCCCTGCTGCAGAAGTTCGGGACTCACCCTGTCCCGCCACCATGGGACCTTGGCAAGCCCCGTTCTCTTGTTCTCTCCCGGTGCCTTCTACCCACCTCTCCTCATTCTGCAGGTCTCCTCGGAGGCACTGATTCCCAAGGGAGGCCTTTCCTGTCCTCCCTGACAAGCCCCGGTGCCCTCTGGACTTTTCCCACCTGATTCTTGTCAGGGTTCACCTTGGGCTTCCCCACAAGGTTGTTTGTATGACAGCGGCAGGGGCTAACCTGGAGACGCTCACACCGAGAGAGCCCAGCCAGTGCTTCTGGTGGCCCGTCCCACCTGGCGGGGTGGGGGGGGGCGGCGCGGGCCTCTGGGCCTCAGGGATGGCACTCAGGGCCCGGCCCGGCCTGACACCCTCTGTAGGTGGGAGCAGTTTGATAAGAAGTACCTGAGCCAGCTGCTGATGCGACGGTCTGCCTACCGCATCCGGGACCAGATCTGGGATGTGTACTACAGGCTCAATATCCGGGATGCCATCAGCTTCGTGGACCAGGTGGGCCCGCAGCCGAGAGCAGGAGGGTACAGAGCTAGCAGACCTGGGCTAGGGAGGCCATCGGGCCGGCAGGCCCCAGTGGAGAATTGGGAAGTCCCGCTGGCTCCCTGATGATATGCCGGGACACTGCAGGAGCAGTTTGCCCGGTCCTGGAGGGTCCATGTGGCACACAGGACAGAATCGTGGGAAAGAGCTGGCCCAGAGAGTCAGCAGATCAGGTTTGGCTCTTGTCACTTGCAGGCTTGTGGCCTCGGGTAGGTCACGGAGCCTCAGTTTTCTCAGCTATGAGAAAGCAGGCATGGTAGTCCCCACACCATAGCGCTCCGGGGACTTAACCGATGTGTCAGGTCAAGGCCGAAACGCGTGTGAGTTCTTCTCGTTCTTTTTTTATTACCCGTCCTCCACCTGACCTGTCTTGGCCCCTGTTTCAGGGAGGCCACGTCTTGTCCTCTACGGGGCTCGCTCTGCCATCCATGCCCAGCCGCAACTCGATGGCGGAGACGTCGGTCACCAACCTGCTGTGAGTCCCGAGCCCTCATCGCGGTTGTTCTCCGTGGGTCCTCTGTGAACCCCTCTAGGAGAGACCTGTCAGCACCCCGGTGCGTGCCTGCTCTTCCCCCGGCCTGGCCCACCGACTGCTCTCCCGTCTGCCTTCCTCTCCCTGTAGGAGGGAGAGCAGCAGCGGCGCGTGTCTGGACCTGCAGGTGATCGACACGGTGCGCAGTGGCCGAGACCGAGAGGACGCTGTGATGCACCACCTGCTCTGCGGGGGCCTCTACAAGCCTCGCCGCAGGGTGAGAGCCAGCAGGGCGTGGGGACTCCCGGGGGGTGGGGGATGGCGGGGGCGCGGTTCCAGAGGTGGTGAGCCCCAGCTTGTGGAGAGCTGTAGGTGCCTACCTAGACAAGATGGGCTTCCTCTGGTGGGTCATGAGCAGAAACTTTGGCTTTGCCTTTCTTGCCTGTTTGGTCTGCACGCTTTCTCTTTTTCTTTTGGTCTGCTACAAGCACTGATTCAGGGTGCCTTTCCCGGCGGCAGAGAGCGGGTCAGACTGACAGGGGTGAGCTGAGCACCACATGGGGACACCAGGAATGGGAGCGGTGAGGTGGGAAGGGAGAGGAGCACCCAGACTGGGTGCTTAGCCCCGACGGGGCAAGATGCAGAGGGCAGGGTCCTGTGAGTCACCGGGAGCACGCTGGGCCACAGTCAGAGCAGGAGGGAAGGCAGCCGACGGCCCGTTTTAGGAAGTGTTAGTCCAACGTGTCTGGTACAGCCCTGGTACAGGAAGGGCCCAGGTCCTCCACAAGAGAATCTGCTGGCCCCCCACCAGGGGGCAGCAAGCTATTACCTCGAACCTTTCTGGACTTGGCAGCCAGTCCAGGCCATTTCTAGCTGTCTGTGGTTGACCCAGAACTAGCTTCCCGCCGGTCCTGATTCGACCCTCTGCAGCTGGGCAGAATCGGTCTTGGAAGGTTTGAAGACCATGTCCCCACAGGCCTTCTTGCCCCCCCACCCCACCCCCTGCCCAGGCCAGCATCTGTTCCCTGCACCCCCCTGCTGTGTCTTCTTGGGTCCTGAGAGATGGGGCCCAGAGGGGAGGTGCTGCCCTAGCTGCGGTTGGTGGTTGGCTGTAGCAGCACGGGGTGGTGGTGATGGCGGAGGGGACGCTGTCTCTTGGCTCATTCTGGAACTTGCCATTCTCTTTGGGCGGTGGCAGGACCACAGGACCCTTCTGCTTTTGACCCCCCCTCTGGGGCCCCATCTTGGCAAAACCTCTGTGTCTTTCCTCATGTTAATGGCTGTCCTTGGACGCTTTCTCCTTTGACCTGGCTTTTGGGGCTCGTTCTGTTCTGTTTTGTTTTGTTAAGGGAAATTTCAATGTATACACAAACTAAGGAATAACATAATGAACTCTCCTTTGTCCTCCACCTCCCGCCAATAATTCTCAGCGTATGGCCGATCTTACATCTCCACCCCCCTCCTTCACACGCTAGTTTAAAATTTTCCTAGGTATCAATTCTGTGACAATTGCAGCATCTATCTCTAGATGGTAAGAACTTACATACATATATGCGGGTATAATGCAGGTATACATGTATATATATATCTGTTATCACTTACAAAGAACCAACAGTGCCATCTTATCATCAAATACCAGTCAGTGTTCAATGAATTTTTTTTAACACCTGGTTTGTTCAAATCAGGATCCAAATAAAGTCCACACTTAGTATTGGGTAAACATGTCTCATCATTTACCGCCCCAACCCCCCCAAAATAACTATGCTCATTCCGTCTTTCTCTTGCCACTTATTTCTGAAGAAACTGGGTGTTTTGTCTTGGAGAATTTCCCATTGTCTAGATTCTGCCCCTTGTCATCCAGTGGTGTTAGTTAATGCCCCCTCACACACACACACACTCTATGTCCAGGTCAGACTCGGGAACATCCGATAGTATGCTCCGCTTTCTTTAGTGTGGCCCCTCAGGAAGTACCTAATAATCGGTCGGTTGTCAGCCTGTGTGTAGAACGGCCAGTGGGCTAGAAAACCAAGCCACGCCGAACCCCACAACAACGAGTAAGGATTTGCTTCTCCCCGATACATGCTATCGAATTGGACTTAGCCTACCGGTCCGGATCGGTCCATCACTTGGGTCCCATCGCTGCCATCAAATGTCGCCTCAGAGTCACAGCATCTGAGATGTGGGAAGCCTGGAAAGAAAGCCACATCTGCATGTAACGTGGGACAGGGCAGAGCTCAGTGGGAACCAAGCATTTTGTGTGCTGGGTGGAGAGGGGGCACTGCGCATCCGATTCTGAATCCGCTTAGTTGTACCCCAACACTGTCCACAATTCTGCACAGTGTTCACAGAAGCACCTCCGCAGAGAGCAGTGCCAGTGTGCAATCAGAAATACAAGATTTTTTTTTAAAGAGAAGAAATACAAGGTGATACAGTGGAACCCGAGGAGCCCAATGTGACGGGACTGCCTATGTTTCTGGGAATTGAGCAAGGGTCCGCCTTGGGCAGATGACCTCCCTACCCCCCACCCGTGCCACTGCTCCTTTGGGAGGGAAAAATTCACCCTGCCTCCTCTGCCAGCTCTCTGCTGTACTCAGGTGCTGGCTTCTGCAGGTTTTACTGTAGTTTGAGAGGTAAGGGTTGGAGATGGTCATTTGACAGCCACCCTTATCAGGTTTCCTGGCTTGGCAGCATGGCAGTCTCTCCAGGAGCATGCTGGAATGCAGACTCACGGCTTCCCTTCCTGGAGACGGCATCTGAGGTGCACAGTGTAGTTTAGAATGGGGCTCCGATTCTGGATTCTGGATCAGACACCCCCGGCCATTCAAGTGTAGTTAGGCTGATGGCCGGGACTGGGGAGCCACACGCAGGTCTGGGGTGCTGGGGGAGCTGAAGCTCAGAGACTGGCTACACTCCCTGTGGGGAATCATTGAGCAGGGAGAGAGGGGTCAAGCATAACCCTGCTGGGAGCCGGGGATGGAGAGGAAGGAAGGAACCCTTGGAGAAGCAGGGACATGGAGTCTGGGAGGCCTGGGGAGCAGGAGGCGGTGCTGCCCCGAGGGCAGGCAGTCCAGGTCCACGCAGAGAGCACAGGACTGGGGCAAAGGCAGCCTGGCACTTGTGGAAGGGGTGGGTTTAAGGGAAATATCCAAATCATCTATAAGTGTCTGGCAGCCACAGGGAGGTAACAGTGTCAATAAACAGGCTTCTTTAAGGAGGCAAAGGCTGGAAAGCAGAGGAGAGGGGGCTGCAGGCTGAAGGAGAGTGGAGCAACGGGAAACTGGGGAGTGAGGGGCAGGAGCAGTGAACTGGGTTGAGGAGTGCTGTGAGGGATGCTCTCACCTCTGGTCACTTCAACTGATGGGCAAGCTGGAGTTAGGGGCAAGTTCTGGGACCAGGGAAAGTTCTCTCCTGATGAACTGGGAAGGCGGAGTTCCTGGCAGGATACTTACTGCACCCCACTCCCCACCCCACGGAGTGTTTAAAAAGCTTACTTGGATTCATGTTTCGTTCTACAAAAACCTACCGTTGGGGTCTGGGGCGAATGTGTCAGGGCTGTGCGCCGCCGGGGTCCCTGTGGGAGGCCAAGGCGCCCCCCTCACGGCAGGGGTGTGTGTGCTGTCCTTGCCAGTACAAAGCCAGCTGCAGCCGCCACTTCATCTCCGAGGACCCCCAGGAGCGCCAGGACAAGGAGATCTTCCAGCAGAACATGAAGCGGCGCCTGGAGCCCTTCAAATCCACCAGGCACAACATCTGCCTCACCAAGAGCAAGCCGCGACTCCGCAAGGGTGGCCACAAGAAGGCACGTCCCTTCCCAGGTTCCTGGTCGGTCGGGGCTGGAGGTGGACAGGCATTGTCCAGCCATCCGGGAGGCGGGAGCGGCTCTCAGTGGCTGTCCCTGCCTTCAGAGACTCCCGGGTTGCAACCCTTGGGGTTCCCCTTAGCATTTCCAGGAGGGGTAAGGCAAGGCTTTCAGAGGGAGATCAACTTCTTAGCCATGTGGTCCCCTGCTGGGGCGCAGCAGGACTGGCCCTGAAGGACGGGGCCCCTAATTCAGCCATGGCCTGGGCGTGGGTTACCAACACACTACCAGCTCGCGCCACACTGGCCAAGGAATGGTAGAACCATTGGGTTTGCCACAAGTTTGTCCCCTGCTGGGACAAGAAGACTTGTCCTTGTCGCCTTACCAGAGGACAGGGCTGGGCTCCAGGGGCCAGGGCCAGGGACTCAGGGTTTCTTTCTTGGTCCTCAGAAGGACGGTGTGGCTAACACTGGAATGACAGCTGGGGAACCTCCCGGAGACCTGGGCTTTCAGGACACAGGCAAGCAGGGGGCTGGGCTGGGGTCAGGAGGAGAGGGAAAGGGCGGAGGCCCTTCAGGCAGTGTCCTGGAGACCCTCCTCTGTCTGGTGAGGAAGACAGACGAGGGGCGGAACGCCTCCCCAGCAACTACAAGGAACTACAGGTGGCTCCCAAGCCAGGGACCCTGGGCTCGGCCCGGGTGGAGACAGGGAGCCACCGGCCAAGGGATGTGCCGCTGGGCCCGGCTGGCCTGACCCTGCTCTTTCTTGTCCTTGTGCAGCTGCTGTGGTTCTAACTCTGGCCTCGGAGGAGGAGGAGGAAGAGGAGAGTGACAGTTCTGAGACTGAGAAAGAGGACGACGGGGGGATCATCTTCGTGGCCCGGGCCACCAGTGAGGTCCTCCAGGAGGGCAAGGTCTCAGGTAACGGCATCCTCTCCCTCCTCCCCACCCCAGCAAAGGTTGGGAAACAGAAGAGAGGGGGCTACAGGCCAAGAACAGGTTGAAGGAGAGTGGAGGGTGCATCCCCCTCCCCTTCTGGCTCTATTCTGGACAGTGCCCATTACATGCCAACCAGCATTGACTGACCCGTGGACCTCACTGCCACCCACCTTTTTTTTTTTCATGTATAAGAGAGTTTTATGTAAAGAAAATGTGCAAGTCCAACATTAACCCATTTACCCAACACCAGTCCACAAAGTCCTCCAGCTCACAAAACAGAGGCAATGATGCCGACTGCAGGAGGAAAGCTGAGTCCGTGAACGTGTAAGCATCTCAGCACTTGCAGGGGTCTCCACACGGCTGCTCCAGCACCCAGGGCTGCATCGGGATAGGTCCATGTGGCTTCTCCTTGGGGATGTCTTGTAGGAAGTCAATCTTGCAAGCTGAAGCAGGGAACTGCTAAGGCAGCTGCACCCTAGTGCGACCATCACAAAGCAAGAAACCCGAGAACTGAAAAGGCGAGGCTCACCACCCATTTATCCCTCCGCCTTTCAATTAGCCCCACATGTGATTATCAGCCAGGTTGGCACAATTAACTAACTCAAAGTGTATGCACATAGATATATTTCCCCATTGTCATATATAAATATATTTACATCTGTACATGCCTGTATTTAGATCACTATAAATTCCCTTTGTCGCCACCCATCTTATAGGGCCGGTAGAACGGCTCTGTGGGTTTCCGAGATTATCACCCTTCATGGGAGCAGAAAGCCTGGTCTTTCTCCCTCTGGGAGACTGGTAGTGTCAAACTGCCAACCTTGTGGTCAGCAGCCCAACTTGTGACCACGATGCTACCTGGGCTCCTGTCAGCAGTTACTGCACGCGTCTCCTTTATCGCAGAGCCCAGGTGCGCTTTTCACTCCACTCACACAACCACAGGAAACAGCCCACAGGGCCTGGGGGACGGTGTGCTGGCCAGCATCACACATCAGACCCAGAACCTGAACTTGACCCATCTGACTCCAAAGCCAACAGCCTTTTCATGGCCATGCTGCCTCCTCCAGAGTCTGGGGAGGAACAAGGAGCGGTAGGCCAATCTAACAGTAGACAGCCTTCACACCCTTCACACCAGACTCAGCACACCTGGGGTCAGGTAGAGCTGCCCACGGGGGTGGCAGCCGGACCTGGCGGAGGAGCCTGGATCCATCTGTTTGGGATTATTGTGGATGAAAAACCCAAACCTGAGTGTCCAGATGTGAAGGCCATTTTCACGCAGAATGCTGCCAGTCCCTTATGGCTGGTGAGCCCAAACACCCCCAGGTGTCTGTCTCTTTAGGAGAAAAAGACGGCGTTTCAGCGAAGCTTCCTCAGAATTCAGTTTCTGCACGTGATCTCGTCAGTGGTGTGGTTCTGTCGTTGGCAATGCTGGGCATTCTCCTGACTCCGTTCCATTAATCTCGTTCCCCTGCCCTCTGAGCTCCCCTCCCAACTTGGTTTTGCAGACATGCTGACCGTTTGACTACACGACTTCGTTTTAAGGAGCACAGTGCTTTTGGGTGGTGACTGGTTTTTGAGCCAGTTGGTTATTTAGCTAGAAGGTGACCTTGGGGGTTAGTTTGGCTTCAACTCCAATGTCTTTCAACGTTTTATGACAGCAAATTACAGCATGTGTGTGTTAGTCCGGATTGACTGGAGAAACAAATTCATAGACACTCGTACATGTGTAAGAGAGAACTTTATATCAAAGAGTAATTGTATATGAAGGAAGCATCCCAGCCCAGTCCGGTTCAAGTCCTTACGTTCGATATTAGCCCATATGTCCAATACCAGTCTATAAATTCCTCTTCAGACTCACGCAACACATGCAATGACACCGAATGCAGGAAGATCACAGGCCAGTGGGTGGAAAGTCTTGTGGATCCAGCGGTGGTGGAAGAATCTCCGCTATGGTGTGGATCTCCATGTGGCTCCTCCAGCTCCAAGGCTCTGGCTCCATGTAGCTTGTCGACAGGAATGTCTATCAGGGAGAGAATGTATTTGATCTCCAGTGAGTGATTTATCTCCGTCGCACCTCCGAATGAGGTCATCAAGCTGCAACTCAATTGACAGGCTAAACTCCACCCCTTCCTCAAGTTGACAGTAGATTATGTAAGTGCCGCAATATGCAATGGTAGACCTGACAGTCAAATTAACCTCCCAGCCCTTAACCCGTTATCCAGTTTCAGTGATCTTGCGTTCTCTGCATCTCCATGTCCCTCTCCCCACTGTGTTCTTCTGAAGCTTATTCCAGAGAGCACTTCATCTTCAAGATAGGGATTCTCTTTAAAACAGGATAGCACGGCAATCATTATCATTTCGGCAGTTTGGGCCAGCAGGCACCCAGTCAATGTCCAAGCTGCGCTGATTGTCTCCACAGCTTTTAGAGTAGCTCTGTTCAGATAAAGACCCAGAGCCGGCCCACACATTGCATTGGGTTGCTAAGTCTCTTTTGACCATTAGCAGCTGTTCTCCAGGGAGGGAGGGAGAAAGGGAGGGAAGCATTTTTGACCCAGGGGGACTTTTGACCCTGTCTGGAGACCCCTTTGCTGGTCACAACTGGGGGATGCTACTGACATCTAGTGGGTAGAGAGAGGCCACAGACACTGCCCTGCACCCCGTTTGGCCCTTCATCCCAAGGGGCTGAAGCTAAAAAACAAACAAAAACAAAACCCCCTCATTGATAGGCTCTCTCCTGCTCCCTGCCCCTTTGCAGTATTATCTGTTGGAGACATTAGGACACCCATAGTCGCTTGAGGTCCGGATTTGACTGATTGCTTCCCCTCCGTGTCATTTACTAGATTTCTCCGCCCCCGAACTGCTCCCTTTGCACTGGTAGTTAATACTCGATCCGATTTCAAGTGTCATTTTTTTAGCTCAGAACACTTCATAAGTGGCGATGGTAGCACGAGGCTGGTATCGATCAGTGGGTTCAGAGCTCCTGGCCAAGGACCTGCATTCCAGCCCCCCACCAGCCTTCTAGCAAACAGGTTTAGCAGCCAGAGAGCCTTGCCGGATCCAGCATTTCCTGCAGGGTGGGGGTCACGCACAGGGTGAGAGTCTGTCTTTGCATCCGTGTTTATTAGCTGGGATCTTCCAGAAAGACCATCCTTCATCCATTAATTGGCTACTTTCAGGTGCAGCCCACCCCAGAAAGAATGAGTCAATGGTGGATTAAAAAAAAAAAACCTTTTACTGGGAGCTCTTACATCTCTTATCACAATCCATACCTTCATGCAGTGTGCCAAGCACATTTCCACATTTTCAAAGCATTCTCTTCCCACTTGAGCCCCTGATATCAGCTCCCCATTTCTTCCCCCTCCTTCCTCCGCCCACCCTCCCTTACTAACCGTTGATAAGTTATAGATTATTATTTTCATATCTTACATCATCCTCCATCGCCCCTCACCCACTTTTCCATTATTCATCCCCCTGTGAGGAGGTTATAGATTGATCTTGTGATCGATTCCCTCTTTCTCCCCGGATTTTTTTGTTTTTAACCTCCTTCTATGGAGCAGGTTTCAGACGAGTTTTAGTTCACTGATATTCTTGAAAAGTGGAACACTGAATTTAAAACAAACCTTTCATATTCCAGCTCTTTCAAGGGATATCACTTCATCGTTAGGCACTTTACCCATAATGCGCCCAGTCCCCTAGGGAGCCATCGGACTGTGCTGGGCTTCATGGACAGGCTGCCTGATGAACCAAAGGCCAAGAGTCACTTCTCCTTCAGGGGACCCCATGTGTCACCCTAGAACTGTGCTCCACTGGGGTGGTGGAGGGTGGGGAGACAGGCCAGGTCAGTACCCGAGTTTTTGAAAGATTGCCAGACCTTTCTTTCAGGCACCACTGGGTGAACTTGAACCCCTGACCTTTGGTGGCATCACCCAGAGACTCGGTGCATGTGGTTGTTAGGGCCTCCAAGTAAATCGCATCACAGCGTCTCCGGGTGACCGAGTAGAATTGCCAGCCATAGTTCCCTGGCTGTAACATGGGCGGAAGCTGGTCCCACAGCCACTGGGTGGCTTCGAATCGCTTACCTTGCCCTCTGCAGCTGAACGCTTCGCCATGGCAACACCAGGGCTCTACTGGCACACACTGAGCGCCTGTATGCAAAGCATGGGGCGTGGCTTTGGTGAGCTGGCTAGGGGGTGGGGAGTGGGGGGCGCCTAGAAGGCTTCCTGTTTCAGAACCGCAGACTTTGGTCAGGCAAGGGCCTCCAAATCCGCCTCCCGCAACCCTGGGCCTCTTGACCCTCCGGGCCCTGCTCGGCCCTCCTCTGTGGCCCAGCTTCAGCCTACAGTGGGGCTTGCACCCCTGGGATCTGACCCCCCAGAGGCTAGGAGCTCAGGCAGGGTGCCCAGTAGGGACCCCTGGCAGACATGGAGCTGTGGCTCTGTCCCCTCACTGTCCCGTGAAGGCTGCTGGCAGATGGGGGGGGGGCACCTACGGATTTTTGTAGGCTATGCCCCAGGCACTGGGAATGTCATGGAACCGTACTGGCAGTAGCCATGCCCCCCAGCTCCCTCCTGGAGTGTCGGTAATAATGAGGGGCTGTCCTCTGTCTCCAGGGACCCACGAGGTGTGCCCCAGCCCACGCATCATCCCGCCCTCACCCACCTGTGCGGAGAAGCACCTCCCGTGGAAGAGCGGGCAGGGGGACCTGGCGGTGTACGTGTCCTCGGAGACCACCAAGATCGTGCCAGTGGACATGCAGACCGGCTGGAGCCAAAGCATCTCGTCCCTGGAGAGCCTGGCCTCCCCGCCCTGCACCCAGGCCCCCACGCTGCCCCACCTGCCGCCCCACCCTATGGCGCCTGAAGAGCCCCAGGCTCCTCCGACCCTGCCTTCCGATTCCCTCCCCAGCTTTGCCTTCCCCCCGAGCCTGGCCAAGGCTGGCCGCTCCCACAGCGAGAGCAGCGCAGACACCCCCCAGCAGCAGGAGCTGCAACCCCTCATGGGCCAGGAGGACCGCACCCATCTCAGCCCTGGCGCAGCCAAGCCCCGCTGGTGCGTCCACTTTAACAAAGGGGGCCGGCTGTAGCCAAGGATGGCCTCAGGGGAGGCCGCTGGGGGGGTCTTGTGCCCTGGCCAGTAGGCAGAGAAGGCTACTCAGCTTTCTGAGGCCTGGACATGGGCCTCTGGGCCTGGACTGCCGCAGCACTGGCTGCCAGCTTGCTAGTGGGCAGAGGTGGGGCGCTCCTGGGCTGGTCCTCATGGGGCTCCTCTCACCCCCTTCCTGCTCCTAACCCTGCCGGCTCCCCGCCCCCACTTCAGAGGGTTCCTTCCCCGGCTCAAGCCCTAGCCCCGGCCTCTGAGGGGCAGGCCCACAACTTGGCGAGCTGATGGCCTGTCCCCAGCACCAGCTCAGGGGCAGTGCCCTGGTGTGAGGCACAGAGAGGGGCTGGGCCTGGGGGCCCAGAGGGATTGGGGTGGGAGGTGGACCAGTCTGGAGCTTGAGTCACCGTGTCTTGGGGTGCAGCTCCTCCTTTTCCAGGACCAAGGTCCCTGAGATGGACCAGGCATCAGGTCAGGGCTGCTGTGTGGCCAGGGACATTCTGGGACTCACTGCTCTGAGCCCAGGACTGGCCCGTGCTGACCTGTGGGGCCAGGTTTTCTGAGGAGGGGAGACAGTGGCCTCTGTGCTCCCAGGTGCCCCCTCAAACAGGAAAGGACCCAGGTGTCCCATTGCTCTGGGGGCTGGTATCCCAGCTGACTGGGTGGCAGGTGAGTTTCCCGGGATTTGTGCCTGCCCTGTGTTTTATATCTTGATACCTAAGACACATTAAACATCTCCCAGGTGGATGGGTGCCCTGTGTCCATGTGCCTGAAAGGTCAGTGGGGTAGTGGGCAGCAGGGGCTGACCAATGAGCTGGAAACGTCCAACCGCCTGTCCCAGGGCTTCTGGGATAGAGAATGGATTCTGGGCCGCACTGCTAACCCGTTGGGCCTCCCTCATGCCTCCCCTACTGCCCAGTCTGGTCCCCTTGGCAGGGGGTCTGTGGTAGCAGCCCGGGGTGGTAGTGGTGGTATCCATGTGCAGGCACAGACGCACAGAACAGAACCCACAGGATGGGGATGGCCAGCAGCAAAAGGGACTCCAGGAAGCAACTGTCATCACACACGGGGGCCAGAGAAGCCGGGCCTGGAGTCTGGCTAGGCCCCTGAGCAGAGGGACTCTTCAGATTGCCGGGATGAGTGGGTGGGCAGCCTCCAGAAAGTTTGAGGCAAACTGAGGGTAGAGGGTCTAGAAGCATGGCTTGAAATCCCTGTATAACACACCCACAGCCTCGTCTGTCTCGTCCGGGGCAGCTGGTGAGTTCAAACTGCTGACCTCTGGTTAGCAGCAGAGTGCTATGCCAACAGGCTCCCTCCCCACCACCTTCTCCACCCGATGCCCCAGAATCCACGCCCCTCTACGTCTGAAGGACTGAAACCCACACACAAAAATGATTGAGATTTAACTTACATAACATAAAGCATTTTTT